GATAGACTTCTCGAAATGTTAATGTAAATTCTAGACTACAAATGTTTTCTCAAAAATGCTAGCATAAATCTCAAAGTTTTTGAATTTTCCTTACTTGCTTTACACGAATTTTATTACTTGCATCATTAAGCGTTACACGCAATTTTAATCTTTTTTTCTTTCGTTAATATTACTGCTCTGATGATAATTGTAAAATATATAGCTTCTCTTAATGATCTGAACGCTGATGGGATAGCAACAATGGCACAAAAGTAATAGGGACAATTTGCAGATCAGAATAATTCACTATGATATTTCCGAGCGGTTTGGTTAGATTATTAGAATTTGCCAAAGTACATGTGGGCTATCAGCGTAAGAAGGGTATGCTTTAGCACACGGAGTAGTTTCTAAGGAAAACTGTCTGGGATTCATGTTATATATGGGAAAACCACAAAAGAACAGCCAGCCCTTTCGTTTCAAATCGAACGGTTCAACTCCCAGTATTCAGCAAACTCAACCACTCGACGAATGGTGCAGCGGTTTTCGAGTGGTTGTCTCACTGGAAAATCTGTGACTTTGAAAAATCCTAACTCCCTGTGATATTCTAAAATTTCCAGCTCACATCACTATTCAGTATAAAATGTGTAAACACAATGATATCGTACAGCTTGACGCCACGAAACGCAAAATTTAAAATTATGGTAGCACTGAATAAAAAAAATTACATCATAGCTCACATCAGAAGAACGTTTGGCGTAAAGTAAACAAAATTTCTGTTGTTTAAATTCTGATGTTAAAACTCCAGAATATTTTGTTTCTCTTGTCAGTTCTTAAGCTCTGGACGCATAATATATAAGCGAATGATATAATACAAAGTATCATTAAATAAATTTAAATTTGAAAGGCTCCATTAATATGCATACGCCAGTTATAAAATATTGGTTGCACAGATGTGAAACTTGTAGTGATTGAATTATTGACGTCTTACATATTTTGAGTAAGCAAGTTAATATAGAGTTTGAAAATTATTAAAAATATGTAATTACATGAGCTGTTAATAAAAATGTAACAAGCGAAAGCTTTTTTTAATAGCAAATGTGTAGAAACTCATTAGATGACAAATGTATAAAGCTTTTTAATAACAAAAATCTAAAAGTTTTCAGATTTTAAATTACGTCCAAAGGGGCGTTTTTAACATTTTGTCTGTTACCTTTATTTATTAAATATAACGTTCTTCGCACTTAAATCATAAAATTCAGGTCAAGAGTAATATCGTAAAATAGTTTTAAATTGAGCATATCTCTATAATTTCTGATACAGAGTTTCGCACGCTGGAGATAAAAATGTTCTATCTGTGTATTGCTTGCTTTGAAATCCTTGAGTTTGTTAATCAAAAAATTTGTTAAAGTTTTAAGAAATATGAAATTGCAAATAAAACAAATTCCAAATTTCAAATTTGGGCTTCCGCATGCCCATATTCGCAGTAGGATTACCTCATTCAAAATTCAATGGCTTTATGCACCGTTGTTTTATTACAATGCGAGAAATATAAATACATTTATGCAGGTTTTTCATTATTTAATTTCTTCAAATATAATGCAGGACTCTAACATTTGGTGGTAACACTTTGAAAAGTGAAACGGACATTTATAGGGAACCAACGCAAAATCGCAAAACGAAAACAATAGTTCTTCGGGGACAAAGCCCCTTTGGATATTAATTATTTATAGCAGATGAAAGTAAATTAATGAAGGAAAAATGTTTAGTATTTAAAATAAACCAAATCCATAGAGTATGATATATAGAATACAACTAAAATACGTTGTTTGATAGGAAATAATGAATATTCGTTTCGTAAATGAAAAACTACAGAATGAAATTAAAATCAGCAAGTTCTTTATCAAAGATTAATTTAGTTTCGTTAATAATACACAATCTGTGCAATGCTCGCAGTTATATTTTTTTTTTATGTATTATAATTTTTTTTTATATTATTTGAAGTTATATTTTTGATTTATGTATTTCTATAATGGGAGCTCTTGTTATGTTTATTCTGTCATGTACTAGTTATTTGTGTCACTACTGCGTTTCTGACAGACATCTCCCATCTCCTAGAAAAGTTAATATAAATTCTTGACCGTAGATTTCTGAAAAAAAAAAAAAAAAAAAAAATTAGTGTAAGTGCCAAATCACGAAATTTCACGAATTTTTACTACTTTCCTCGCAGAGTAACGAGAATTTTTTGTTATCTGTTCTTGCTCTAAAATTAATTCTCTGATGATAATTATGAAATATTCAGCTTCTCATAGCTAAAGTAATAGCAATGAAGACAGAGATTTACAAAAACGGAAAGATGTATTTATACTTTCAATCCATCACCTCCTAAATACTCCTAAATACAGTTGCTGTTTTTATACCAATTACAGTATAATTAGCCCAAAGAAGCGTTCTCAGAAGGTATTAGTCTCGAAACGGGATTTTTCGTTGAATCACTGTAAAAGGCTGAATCCCTTTCGAAATGTAGCCGTCAAAAATTATCGACCGATATTATTTTAAGAGAAATTAAATAAAGGAGAATATGCATGATTGTAGGTATGTTTCTCGCATTTTGAAAAAAAGACGGGACCTAGAACCATCAAATTTTGAATAGCGTAATCAACGAACATTGGCATCTCGAAGCCCGAATTTTGAATTTCGAATTTGTTTTATTGTCTATTGTATATTTTGTAAAACTTTAAGAATTTTTTATGAACAAACTTAACGATTTAAAACAAGCAATGGCAACACTGTAAGAAAAACATTTTTATCGCCAGCACGCGAGACTGTCTATCGGAAATTTTAGATATATCGTGTTTTTAGATATTTTGTGATATTGCTGTTGAATATAATTTTATGTGCTTTAATTGCGAAGAACATGATATTTAATAAATGAAGGTAACACACAAAACGTTTAAAAAAAAGCTCCCTTTGAAAGTAATATAAAATCTGAAAGATTGATTTTTTTTTTAAATTTCTAATTACTTTCATTTGTTACATTTCTATATGTGTCTCTATAAGCACAGAGTAAAACTCGCGCTTAAAGTAGAAAAACTTCATTATTTAAGAACGTTTCTAGTATAGTTGTAGAGATATTAGCTTATTCTGAAGGAGGAAAGGTGAAAAATGAGCAGTGCTTCTCCGGGACTCGAACCTCTGACTTCTCGAATACGCGCCGAGCGTGCTGACTATTAAACCACGAAGGCATGCTAAGAAGGAGGAAGAAATACCTTGCATAGTGTTCATTTAATTCAATATTACATTCAGTTTCTTCGAACTCCTGGGAAATGTTTTAATTTCTTTTTATATTTACATAGTATCCGTATTTCTAATCTTTCAATAAAAATTTTTTATAAATCGGAATTGAAAACTTCAATTACTGGCAAAATGTAGGGAAAAAATAAATAGACTAAATCCTGCATTAAAACATTCATTATGTTATTAACGTATTTTTATTAAAACCTATTAAGTAGTTCATAAATATCTTACAACTGATTATCAGCAAACTATTTAAAATCTTTATGGGACAGACGATTTTAAAGTGTTCCAGTATAACAAAATGCATTCAGTTTTCATAATTGTTTTTTCAAATTAACGTATATATCAATGGAATCAATGCAATTAAAGAAATTCAAAAAATAATAAAACAAAATAATGCGTCCTTATTTTAAATTCTTACCATTCACAATAATGGAAGTACGCAAAATGCATCTACTATTGCGTCGCTAATGAAGCATGTAATCCAAAAATTAAGTTTAATTTAGTTATAAAAATTAACTGATAAAATTCTACCATTTTGAAAGCTGGCACATATGTATAACTTTATAAAGACTTTATTGAATATTTTCATAATTGTGTGAAATTTAAAAGTATAATAATGAAGATATAAACAAACTTATGGCATTTATTGATGGAATAACTTATATATTTTCCTTTTGAGGTTTGAATATCTTTGCTTTTGTAAATATCGTCTGCGCGTGTGGTTAATTTCAGATAATTTCATTTTCCAGTCTAAATATCTGTACTTTTCCAAATATCGTCTGCTTATTAATTTCATTTTTCTCTCTTTTGTTTTTGGCAACTATTGCAATGTTATGGACTTTTTCCTTTGGGGATTTGTAAAGGACAACGTTTACAGGAGGAGAGTGTCGAACATTGGTGACCTAAAAGCCAGAATTACAACCGCAATAGCCTCTGTGGATGCCGACATGCTTGCCGTACCTGGCGTGAAATTGAATATCGACTTAATATTCTCCGTGCGACGAAGTGGGCACACGTGGAAGTTCATTGACAAGGGTCATGAAACTTTTTGGGTCTATCTAACCATTTATGTTATTAATTTAATCTATCTTTATTATTTTATGAGTTATTAAACATCAAAATGGGTCCGAGACTTTATAAACACCCTGTTTTTTAAGGAATTTTATTAATTTTTTTAACTTAATTCCGTGCAGTGTTCCTTCTAAATCTTCTTAACTTTATACAAAATGTCTCAAGGTATTACAAAAATAGTCTCTCCATTTGTTGCTCATTTAGTTACTCGAATTTAAACTACTTTTACATTTATCAAGCAATCATCGCGTCTCATTGCTTTCATTACTCAACATATCTTGATGAAAAGTGAATGGTATACAAACTTTTATGAATGAAACACAGGTCTTTAGATTATTTTGAAAGATTTTTTCCCGTTCAAGTATTTTTCTTTTTTCCTATGAAAGTTCTTTCTGCATTCTTTGCAGATAATCCACTCACTTAGCACATTTCAGACATAACTCTTGAAATTTATTCAGTTTTTCGTAAAATGCTACATGCATAAATTGCAGTATGAAAAATATGAACATGTCTTTTCTTTTAAATTATTCGTAATAATAATCTGATACTTTATATAGGAATTTTTAGATAAATTCATTAATATTTGAATAAATGTTCTGTAGTATATTCTAATATTTTTCATTTTTTAATAACTATTGCTTTTTTTTTTTCAGGTTTATGCATACTAGCTCATACTGAAGAAAATTTGGTTTTTATCATTTGAAATTGCTGCAGAAACAAAGTCACTTAAGAATGAATAAATGGCATAACATATTATAGACTTCTCTATTTATTAAGTTATTATCTATTCTACGTTACCTATTATTTTCTTTTCGTTTAACTTAATGTTAAACTTAACAGTATGTTTCACGTTATTTAATTTATTTCATAGTTTATAACTTGAAGTAATCCATGTTATAATCTTCTTAATGCTTTTAAATAAAAGAAAACATCATTTGACATTTTTTATTGTTCTTAAATTCAAACTGCTTTAAGATCTAACATTTTTTTAGACAAAAATAAGTTGCATTCTTATTCCTTTATTATAAAGCGTACCCTGGCTCTTTATATGCTGTAAAAAAGTTTTAATTAGGTATACAGTTTTCATTATGTTTTTAATTTGTTATTTGTGAGTAATAAAAGTAAATACGCATTTCAATATTTCTGAAAGTCGGTAAACAAAATTTTATATACGGATTACATATAAATATTTTTAGAGAGACTCAATAGAGTTTTCTTATATTTGATATATTTATGTAAAAATGATAAAAGATGATTTTTCAGTAATTTCAAGTTCATTAAATTTTGTTGTATTTTATCAAAGATGTACAAAAAAACAAAAAAACATTTAAAATAAGAACTTTTGTTTCATTATTATAAAATTTCATCTCTGTTTATCTAAATGTAATAGAAGATATGTCACATTTTAGTGCATATTACAATAGCCATTATTTCCGTAACATATCTATATATATACAGTCAAAAAATTACAAAAATTATTAATTTAAAAAGAAAAGTATAACATTTGCTTTTCACTCTTGTCCAATACCAAATTTAATATATTTTTCCTTTAACCCTTTGGTGTATCTTCGTATTATCTTACGTTAAAGTATAATCCATAATGATTCTAAAATAAACGTTTTAAGAGGCAGTTGCAGCAACCTAAAAATAAATATTTTCAAATGAATGGTATCTTTACCTGCATTAAAAAAATTTAGAAATTCTTTATCAGAATATTCTGGTAAAATTAATTCTGGTAAATTCTGGTTATATCAAAATTAATAAGCACATATATAAAAAATAAAAATAGTATTCTTACCTTGTGATGCATCTGTCAGCGCACTTTCATTGGTCTCATAGTTTTCAACCCAACAATCACACAATGACCAACAGTAAATGTTACGTCATATAATTCTCACATAAATACTCCATCCGGATTGGTTCCCTCCCTATAGTATTCCCCTACACTGAATGATCGAATTACCCATCATCGAGCAGAATTGACTAATGGCCGTCTTGATTACCGTCCTTTCATAGATTTTATTATTCTGATCACGTGAGGAAATTTCGAATGTTTAGATAAACTAGCATTTCTGGATTCAGAAATCTGTGAAAGATCTAAGAATCTTTTGCAATAGGAATTACAAAGTTCAATATACTTAGGAGTTAAAAATTAATGTAAATACTATTTTTGTCATAATTAACGGATCATAAGGATAAGTAAGATATTTTTCCTTTTATACCATTATTTTAAATTTTGTTTTAAAGTATTCAAGTGCGGATTCCTTGAAGGTTTAGAATAGTCTATGATTTGAAATGTAAAGGATGTAATCGCTTTTTAAAATCCTGATATTTATTTCTTTTTTGGAGGGGGAAGTCCTTTATCTGGACATATTTAATGCCGATTAATGGCTATTAAATATTTCATAAGGCATAATTATTTAATCCGACATCGAATATAAATAAAAGGAATATATCTTTATAAAAAGGGTCGCACGTAATTGGTTTTCTCTTTATAATCCATGTATTATACAAGTATATTTGTTACATGGTTAACTCAACTTGATTACAAGCTTCTGTTCAATTTTGCCAATTTCAATAACTTCAGTAATTTTTTAAATATGCAATTTTATGTGTAAGAATTGGCAATAGAATTTTATGGCAACTAAGTCAATTTAAAAATTGAAATCTTGTAATTTATTACATAAATGATTTAATTTCTTTTTTCAAATCAACTCTCGATTTAATAAATAAATAACTAAATTGTTCATATAGTATCTTAAATTTAACACACGTTTTATCATCAATTCATTTCCTTGAGTTTTGTGCAAATTTTCCTGTTTCATGTTCCTTGAACTGAAATTTCCATTTTACCATTACTTCATACCATGACCATAGAAAATTATTGATCATATATATATAAATAAAATGCCTACTTTATATTCGTTTATCCGTAAAATCTAATACCGAAAGAAGTTTACACGAGTACTATAATATTTTCCTAAATTCTGAATGGAATCCACACGAAGAACATAATATTTTCCACTTTCTCTTCAAACTTCAGTCCCACATTTTACGAAAAAATTCCTTGTTACCGAATAAAAACAATGCATTTAGCGGGAAAAGTTTAAAAGCTTTTAGGAGAACAAAAATTAAATCTTAAAATAGTTTTGTGATAATATTAAATATTAACTGAAACATTTTAAGATGTTTTAAGCTCAATACTAATACAATTTTCGTTAAAGATATCACGTTCTGATATTATTTGAATTTATTAGAACTTTAAGCTGAATAGATTTTAAACTCAGTAGCTTTTTAAACTGAATGATAATCAATTTAATAAGCATGTCCTATTAAATAACCCTATTAAATAAACGGTATAGTCCTATTAAATAAACGGTAGTTTAAGGGAATTTCTAATGATCATCTTGTTATGATTTAATTATTTGCACTTCAAAGGTGATAGAATTGTTAAATAGTGTTAATGAAGATTTGAATTATAAAATAAGAATTCTGCTTGAATTTTTTACTTTATGTGCGAAATAAATTATTACAATAATTCAAATTATTATTGAGACTGTTTTCTGTTTACAGGATAGTTAGCAAGCTATCTCCCAGTAAGAAAAAAATTCTAAAAGCACTTCATAACCTTCTTAAATTCACAGTCTAATTATTTAATTGAATTTCATAGTAGCATTCACATTAACAGATACTTAAAGGTATTTCTTTAAGATTTTCTTGTGATTAATCTGTGTAGAGATTTGAGGAAATCCAATCCATCGCATGCTTTTCTAAATTCCAAATCATCATCACGGATTTAAAACGACATAGGAACTCATTTTAAATCCTACAGTCAGTTATAATACTGTATCAAAAGTACTCGAATAAGTACACATTTAATTTAAATATTAAAAAAGCACCATTTTCAATACGTATGAGTCAATAAAATTTTGCTAATTACCTGTTTCGTAAATTGTAACTTACCTTTGCAGCACTTCATCCCCTATTGATTGATTAGTTTTAATTTTGTTGAGATATATTTAAAATATTAACAATGAAGCACTTACAAAGTTTCAGTTAATTTAAAAAAGTAAAAAATTAGTGTTTATATTAGAGTGACGTGATTGGGGAATTTATTCATTAAAAAATAATGAGAAATAATTTGCAACTGAGGAATAATAAAATGCTACATTACTATCAATTATTGAAAGAATATGAATAAAAATACATAAAACAATACATAAAACTTTATGTACTTAATATCAGAATGAAATTTAATATTTAAAATGCAAAGAAGTTTTATGAAAAAACGGCCGGTGAAAATTTCGAGTAATCTCATTGTCAATCTTCCTCGGAAAACACAGGAGGTTTCCATAGAACCTAGGTCTACCCAAAGCTGAACTATTCGTAAATAAATTCTGTTTTAATGAAAAGCTTTCACAGAATATTTATCATTCACTTTTGCTATTAAAGAAATTCTAGTTAAATTTTAAATTATAACTATCACTGTTTCTTAATTTGATTCCATTAAATGATATTCAATGTAAAACCAAATAAATTGTAACTGATTTTTTGTAAATTACTGAACATATTTGCTTTGAAAATCGAATAATAGGTCCCAAATATCAAATAAATTGAATATTTATCTGCTTCACTCTGTATTCTAAAAATCTGATGTGCACACCACATGACTTCCTAGCACGGAATATTAAATTATACGCACTTATTCCTGCATTTCATTTAAATTTATTTAAATCTAATTCGCCCTAGCGCATTTTTATCTAATTCGCCCTAGCGCATTGTCTAATTCGCCCTAACGCATTTTTATCTAATTCGCCCTAGCGCACAAACCACAACAAAATAAATGCATTCTTTAAAATTCTTTATATTTATTTACCATAGCGACACTCTGGCCTAGGTTCACATAACAGCGTTACATCTCATTCATTTATAACTCAGAATGCCCAAAAATTATATCATCTGAAGAATTACCCAATTTTGCCATATGCTCTATTCGAGTACTATAATAAATCTAAAACGATGCATAAAAGAAATTAGAGAAATTAAAAATAAACAGTTGTTGTTACGAAGCTCAGTTTCTTTAGACTGGCCACAAATCCATTATTCTACTAAGTTTCAAATGTAAACAAATATGCCTGCTATGGTAAAAAAATTAGACTTAGCCGCACTTAAACAACATTTAAATTGTTGATAATTGTACAAATATTGCATGCAGGTTAACTAAAGGCATAAAAATCTTAACCGGAAGATAAGAACAATATAATTCAATCATTTTTAAAGAGAAAAATGCACAATTTACCAACATATAAGAATTAAAAAACTGATCTCGAGGAGCCGAGTAACAAAGTGAGTATATGTATAGACATATATTTATTTACTTTTGGTGAGGCAAATTGCCACCAAAAAGGAAAGTGCACAACTATATCATACAGCTGTCCTATATGCAAAATTTCAAAGTTCTGAGCCTGCACATTTTTTAGTTATGCGAGATACATACATACAACGCACGTACGTACGTACAGACGCCACGAAAAAATTTCTTCTGAATCCATTTTAAATCAGTTTTAGAATTTTTTGGAAGAAGAGTCCTTCATTCTGTCCATACGTACAAACGTCAGGCAGAAATTTCGTTAAATTACATTCGATAGCAGCCAAAATGGATATTTTCGTTGAAATATGGTACCTGGAATTTTTCGTGATTACGGCACTTTCTTTACTCGTACAAGGAAGTAAAAATAGGCTGCAGT